ATAGAGCTTCCTCACAAATCCCTGTAACTCCTGCCTTATCAATACAAGAAAGGAAGGAAACATAAAATGTTCAGAGTGACAGGTTCCACTGTTTTTCTTCTTAACTAAAAATGTGGGAAATCTGTGGTCGTAGGAGAAAGAGGTGAAAACACGTCAGCGCAGCAAGGTGACGTATCTTTGAAAGCCTCCTGCCTCTCCCTCCCTTTCAACCGGCGCAACCAGCCATGAACACGGAGGCAACAGAAGCGGCTATCACAGATCCCCCGGTTTGCCCCATTACGTTTTCTAGCAGCTCCTCTTGGCGCAGACCTCTTTGATCAGCAGTACAGGGAAGATCAGGTCTGAGCTGCTACAATGGCTCGTTGCACGACTAGGCGCTTGTGGCTCCCAGCTGTCCGTGCGACGTGTCATGTCCACGGGGCTACTGTGTCTGCGTAAGAGCAGCCACACTGAGCTCCCATGATGCACAAAACTCACGTACTGAATTTTCCCTCCTTGCCTCCAGCCATCGCGGTTCTGCTTATTGCCAAGTCAATTAATATCTACCACACTAGGAGTAAAGGGCCCTTGGGAAAAAGGAAACCAGGGAGTAGGCTGGTTGTTCCCGATCTCGGCTTGCCCTGTGCCAGTACAGCATATTTTCTAGAGTGTTTTTTACAATTCAGTTTAAATGACTCAGCTGAGGGGTTTTGTATAACTTCTGACCACAGCCTAACAGTTCTCACAGGAGGTAATATTTCCTAGTGTTTGGCATGAGCTTTCCTCCTTTTCATCTTAGCACTTGTGCTCCTTCAGCAATCCTTACCCACTTCTTTCCTTTCTTCATGCTTACAGCCTACAACTTTGTAAGTGGTTACTGGATCCCTCAGCTTCCACCAAGCCCTTCACCATGCAGCATAATATATCACATTCATTACTGTTATGCAAGTACCTAGACAGACAGGCTTTATCTAGCTGTGTTAACCTTTCCCATAAACCAGTCCTTAAAGTCCAATAGCAGTTTGGGTTCTTTTATGTGCATTCCCTCCAGTTTGTCAACATCAATCTGCAGTGCTCTGATCTTTGAATAACTGCATTGTCGCAGTGCTGGTGAGGTACGACCACGGTGAGCAATCAACTACTCATTTGTTGCCTTTTTCTAATTGCACTTCATTTTACCTCTGTTTTTTCCCAGTTCCTTTATACTCTTTGTATTATACATTTTGTGCTAGGCAGCAGCAGACACAACCGGATTCCTTAGTCTGTCAGTAGCAAAGGTAATCGCCATAAATATTTAAAACATAATAAACTCTGATATACAAAAGAATTAAAACCCTTTCAAAAGCATCCTTTCTCTAAACCTGTCTCCTTGTAAACTGAATTTAAGTGGCAGCAAAGCAGCCAAATCAAAACTTTGTCTTTCATTTCTGCTGACATGAAATACTTCCCCTCTCTGCTCTATGTTCTTCCTCCTCACAGAGTGAGTAGATGTTTGATTAGGTACAGATTTAAACACAAAAAAGATTTTCCAAGTCTCAGTTCCAAGTTCCAAGCAACTGCCCATTTGCTGGGTGTAACTCACTGCAGGGTCGCCCAACTGGGGAGCAGAACAGAGGAGGCTCTTTACAAAGGAAAAGAAAAAATATTGCAAGTGTTTCACCTCACAAGGAATTCTTGAAAAAATGTGCTTCCCTCCAGAGACCTGGAGTTGTTTGTCTCATTCGAGGGCTGAGTATTTTCCTCTCGATAGCAGGCTGGCAAAGAGGTGGAAGTCTCATGCTGCAGAGCGAGTGAAGAGCTGTCCTCAGCTGACACCAGATTTGCATGGGAGCTCCCGAGGGCTCCACTTGTGTCACCTACTGGTGCTGTCTGCTGCACACCGGACCCTTGCACTTGATCTCAGGTACAGCAAGCAGGATGTACTCACCTTGTCTGCTCTCCAACAGCACTGGCAGCAAAATAACTTTGCAACCAGGGCAAAAAGTCTCAGCTGCATGCCCAGGTCTGCCCCCCAAAACGGCCTTTCTAAAGGGGAATACAGTTTTTGAAGCTGGTGGTCTTCCAGTGACTGTGCCACGCTATCCCTGAGAAGCTCACCTGGAGAGAATAAGAGCTAGTATTGGTCCCCCGTGCCTCAGATAGATAATCAAGATTAAATGTGATTTTTTTTAACACTAAAACCAAGTCTAGAACAAGAAGCTAACTAACTAGCTCTGACCAGATGACACCAAGTGGTCATAGCAAAATTTACATTTATTATTACTGGAACACTTTGCAAAACTTTCACCCTTTGAACTGAAGTTTTGCAGCTTTGCCATTTGAACAATTTAATTTTTTATGTGGGAGCCACTAAGTCTGCGTATTTTGAGTCTAGGAAGAACGCTCAAACTGTTAAAAAATACAGGGGAATACTCAACACAAATTGCTACCATACTCAAAAGCTGACTAACTGTATATTAACAAGACACAGATTTTTAAGCACTAGTTATTAATTCAGCTAACTAATGGTTACTGAAGTGACTAATAACTAGGCTATGCAGTGGTGCTAATACGGAAGTCAATGTAAAAGTTCCTATTACTAAAACACCAGAGGTTTTTGGATAAGGCATCGCACGGACCAAGCAAACCTACTGAAGCATAAAATAGCAGCAGATCAGTTAAACCGCTATTTCAGAGCAAGCGTTTATCAGTCCCTGTGCTCTTAGGTTCATAGTATCTCACACAGAGATATTTGAACACGTCTTCACTGGACAAGATAATGATGTAGGAAGAGAGACGCCAGTGGCGCATTTCCTCATCCATCGAAATTTTGTGTGTGATGTAGAGTTATATGAGCAAATATCAAAATGTATTTTTAAAAGTTAGTCATCTGCTGGAATGTGTTCTGTTAGGATGTTTTCTTTTCTTCCTTAGATGACTCTGTGAAGCACTTCCCTAGTCACTTTGCCAGCAACCATGAAAGCCCAGCAAAACATCAGACTCCCCGCTAACCCAAGACTGCAAAAGTGGCTACACTGAAAATTAACTCAACAGGTTCTTCCGTTGTTTTTAAAGGGCTTAAATTCTCGCCCGCTGAAGAGTCTGAACCCGTGCAGGCACATGTGAAAAAGGGGAGGGGTGGTGATGTGAAAGCAAATGCTTTCGGTGCCCAAGGGGAAGGGGAAGGTGAGAAGCAGGTGTGTGGACAAAGGTGTGTGGACAAAGGTGTGTGGACACGTGGTCTCTGTACTACCTCTGTCCCCAGCGATGAAACTCTGCTCTCTGTCTACACAGAGTAACCAACCTCTCCAAATGCTTCCCGTTTTGACTTTGGTCCCTGTACAAGGCACATCCTGAATCAAAAAACTGTGACTTGAGGAGCAGGTGGGAACGGCATGAAACACACAACAGAAGGCAACCCGCGCTGTCCACTTTCTTCCTGAGCTTTCAGTGGGCTACATGTCCTGCTTCTGTCACTGCGTGACAGTGCCTGCCTGTACCGTGGGGATTGACTCCCCCGGTACCTGTGCTGGCCTGCCCCACAGCCACACAGCCGTTTGACCAACTGAGCTATGTGGGACGCTTTATAGACTTGCTACATTAGACATACTCTGTGCCACTCGGTTTGCTGGAACGCACTCCCGTTTCTCATGGTCCACCTTGCGCCTTGGGCTGTGTTTCCTGAGCTCTGCAGGTTGCTTTCCGTCATGCCCGTGTCCTCACTACTGTTGGCAGATCTCTAAATTTTAAATAATCTTACATGCTGTCTTTAGCATCTCTCCTGTTGCCCACTTACTTCCCATTTAAGATCAATACAGAAGAAATCAATGGCCCAAACACCGGTTCCCTCCGGCACTTCTCTCCAGACTGTAAAGCATCGCTGGTGCCTTCTCTGCATCTGGTCTGTTAGCTGTCTTCCTCTCTTTATAGCAGTGGTTTTATTTGAGATAAATTAGCAGAAATTTAAGATTCCTGGAGAAACTGTACTAGTCCTGAAAATGTAAATATTTATTACTTCTGTGCCATTTTATGTTTTGCTGCACAGTACAAACGAAATACCAGTTCGATAATAACACAAGTGACAGACTTCAGATGGACTACTCAGGCACGCCGTGGACTCATAGAGCACGAGGGCTCTGGCCTTGCTGAACCCACGGCAAAAGCCTCCCTCCAGGCGAAACAGTGCCCTGAGCCCTGCAGGGTGCCTGGCTTTGGAAGCAGAGCACACGAGTGACGCGTACCCGTTGCGTGGGTACTAACCTCCTTCAGACAGGCGGGTACTTGGCAACTGCCTCCAGCACGCGACTTGCTCTGCGCGATGACCCCGTCTCCTTAACCGGTACGGGCACAGCGGTTTTCCTTTGTTCTCCTTACTGTCAGACTCCTCTCTCTCAGAGCGGGAAGGGTTGCCCAGCACAGACTCGGCCCCTTCGGAGGAAACATCCTCAGTCCCTTCACCCTTGCCCTCCCCAGCCCCATGCGCCCGCAGGGTCTCCCCTCCCCGCCGGCAGCTGCGGAAGGGCAGCAGCAGGGAGGTTTCTGGAGCTCGTCCCTCTCGCCTCCCTCCTCCCTGACAGAGCCAGCGGGCTGCAGCTCTGGCTTGGAATTCCCCTATCAGGGAAGAAAAATCCCCCCCTGATTGCAGGAACCCAAATGGCCCACAGAGGTCCAAGTGCCGCTGCTCTGACATGTCACATCACACAAGAAGTCATGGGCGTCAAAGTACCTCGGTGCGGGGTTCCCAGCCAGCAGGTAGTCTGGCGAACATTTTGGCCGCTTAGGGACATAGACACACCTAGCAGCCCTGGGGGGACCCGGGTTTTACAGCACCTATGCTTAGGCCCAGAAAGAATACAAAGATAATACAGGAGATACATTAGCAGTGCCACTGTAAGATAACCTGGAAAACAGTGGAGCCAGTCCGCTCTGGGGAGCATCTGCTGGGCCTGGAAAATCAGTATGGCGAGTATGAGAGGACGACATAGACGACTGTCACAGCCCTCACGTTTGGGAGGCCTGTGCAACCACCACTAACCCTGAGCATGTCTGGAAAATCCACCAAAACGCTTCGGAGACTCTTCACGTGCATGGAAATGGGGAAGCCAAGTAAGTCTGGACTAGTGGAAGACGGCAGAGAGAATACGGTAAGAGAAAAGGCAGGGTTGACAGAGGGTTGGGGAAGGGCCAAGATGGTGAAGGCAGGGTATTTCAGGCAGAGTAGCAGTGAGTGAGGCAGAGGGAGTGACAGGAGCAATGTGGCCAGAGCTATTAACCAGAAGGATGAACTGAACAGCTTTTCTAGCAGTCCAGAAGCAGAGAGAAGAGATATGTTTGGGAAGCCAGGCAGAAGCCTGAACAACGTTTAGTCTATCTAGCAGAAAAGTCAGATTATTCTCTGTTTCTGTAGGAAGACCTGATAGCTACACTTGAGGACAACCTTCGTGTCTAAGCAAAGAAGAGGGCAGAGAAGGCACCAGGATTATAAACCGTTCTCACCAACACTGGAAGAACTGATGCCCTCAGCCATGTCCAAGGAAGCGGAGACAACGAGCATTTTAGAAAGGAAGAGGAGAAGTTCTGCGCTGGCTGTGTAAAGGCCAAAGGTAGGACAAAAGCGTAGGAAGAGGGAGAGCCTATCAAAAAAAGGAAGAACATAGAAGCCACCTCTGTGGCTGGGGAGAAGTTGCTGCTAGAAATCAAGCACTGTGAGCTGCAGTCCCTAAGACACCCTCAGCCTGTTCCCAGAGATGGATTTGGGAAAAGAAGGGGAAAAAGGTGGAGACCTGAGCACACCTCACAAAGAGCAACAGAAAATAAAGGGACAGCCAGAAGCAGGGAGAGAAGCTAAGGAGCAGGGCTTGCAGAGGGCCAGGGAGGGCAGCTTTCCAAGCAGGAGTGATGTCCTGAAAGAAGAGAAAGTTTCAGAAACTTGAGATTTGGCTCGAAAAGGAAGCTAGTATCTTCAGTTACAAAAGCATTCTGTGGTCAAAAACAACGCCGCGGTGACTAATGTGGAGACTGGAGAGAAGAAACAAGAAATAACAGTGTCTGTTCAATCCTTAACACCAGGAGAAAAGCACCCAGGGACCTCACGGTGTTTCGGCAGGGCAAGCATTCGTTTGCTGCGGCCCCAGAAGGGTCGCAGTCCCGAGGGAGTGGTGCCGGCCACCTCGGGCCCTCCGATGGAGCCCAAAATGGGAACAGCACGCGTCTGAAAATGAAACCTCCGCTCCTTGCAAAGGTAAGCACCAACACCCGCGCGGAACTGGCAAGCATCGAAAGTGAAGCGCTCTCTCACAGTAATTGTAAATGTTCTTTGGTTAACATCTGCCAAAAAAAATTAAACACAAGAAAACAACTTACCAAGCAAAAGAAAGCATTTAGCATTTTGGAAAGCCTTCAGTCTGCACAGATTTTTTCATCTCTTGCACCACAAACAACAGCAAACACTTTGTAAGTCACTGACAATTAGTCTGACACATCCTCAGAGCTTTCCTCTCGAAGAGAAAGTCTTATCTCTTTTTCCTGTGACATATTTATTTTCAACCATGTATAAACAAACAAGATACACACAATAAAATTAATCAGAAGCATATTAAATTAAAATACTACCAAAGTAATTTTATTTTGAAGGAGAGAAAAATGTGTATCACCATGAATCAAAAATACCTTGACAGTGTCCTTTTCTTTTAGAAGTGAGAAGAAAATTGGAAGTAGGCCCAGCTCCTACAGAGAGCTCTTCAATTTCTTTATTGAAACAAAAGTCATATTCAGTCAACACAGGTTTTCCTGATTAAGCTCAGCAGGATCAAATGCTATATTAACTGAAGAATCACAAAAATACTCGTTTAAGCACAGACAGGCGTAAGACAAAAGGCTGAGCTCAACTAAGAGAGAGGCAGTTTCTCCTCCCCAGAAAATGGGTACAAATTTTACCAGCTGAGTATTCATTTTGACCCTACGTGTTTTATCACAGAGATTTGGAAGATGTTTTCATCAATAATTTTCTTTTTCCAGAGATCATAGCTTCTTCTGCTGACAAGCAGATGTTTAGTGTGTCTTTCTCTTTAGTTAGCTTTGTGAGATCCGTAGTTCCACAGTCGCTTCCAGGTGCCAACAATGACTCCTGTTACTGAGGAAGTTCATTAAAACACCACGGATCTAGCCAGAATACATGGGGTTGCTTATTTTTAATGACATGCATCATCTATACACAGGAGTATTTTTAGACCAGTGGGTGATGTGCTTTATTATTAACAGCTAGGTTTGAAGCCTGAAGATGATACATTATTGTCTCTCATAGAGAAAACTCGGCTAACGCCACTGCTGTTTCTTTAGCACTCCCTGCAAATTGGTTCCTTTCTAACGCTCTGGAAAGCATCTTGTTTTTTATTTTAAAAGAACAACCAACAAGAAAAGTCAAATTATGACAATTCTCCAGTTTTTGGCAACCAAAAAGCACAAAAGAAGCCCCATTTGGAGTGAAAATATTCAAGAAAGAAAGGAAAATGCTGGGGAGAGCTGACTAGGAAGGAATCAAAAAAGAAAGCATTCCTTTAGTCCAAAGCCCACCAAGTTTTGATTAAAAAAAAAAAAATCAAGATGGTCCCCGTTTTTGACACAGGATGTGTTTATCTAGCCTTGCCGTAGTTACGAGCAACATGAGCTAGTCAAACCATGCTTCACCACTGTGCAAATTTATTTAAACAGAAATGAGTTTCAACAAGAAAGCAGTGCTTATGTGCCCATTTTTACGAGTAAGTACTCTATTTCCATTATAATAGGATAATTTTATTCTTGCTACGGCTCTATGGATTTTGATAGAGCTATCTCTAAAATAGATTAAAGTTCATAATTAGTGTTGTGCAGAAAACCGTGAGACTAGGTTCTGTATATTTTTGGGAGGTAACTAAGTGGCCTGATTTCCATTGATAAAGAAAGTGCCCTAGTTCCCATTAGCACCATTGAAGCCGTTCATTAAGATGACTAAAGTTAGAGAGTTCTTAAATCTTGGCCCGTAGTCTTTGAAGAAAACACAGAGCCAAAGCCAAGGAGATGTTCAGGGAAAGTTTAAAATATACAATGAGGCCCTAATTCTGCACTGCTGCATGTCTCCTGTGGTCATGTACAGCTGGGTACAGTCCTCAAACCACTACCAGGCAAGAATTTTGCACATGTGCAGAAAATCAAGACCTGGCTTTTGCAGAACACATACGCTGAGTATCAGGCAAAACGCTGCAGTTATCAAGAGCCTTCCACACAATGACGTAAAAATCTTAGCAGGCAATTACTATTTCCATTTTACTGATAGAGAACTAAAACAGAGAGAGACAAAGCAAGCTAGGCTACATGGAAATGCCCAGGAAAATAATAGAGTTAATTTTTAAAGCGGATTAGTTAAACCACAAACAATTCCATGTAGACACCCATTCAAAACTAAAGCTGCTTTTATTCTATTCAGTGTTATTTTATTCTGAAAGGGAATTAATTTAAATCAAACTGCAGCCAGTTCTGTTGTGAGGAAGAGCATGCAAATTGAGGTTCAATGCGGTTCACAGGCATTTTTAATTTACAGCTTTTGTTAATTTAGTTAATCGTCCTGAGTGCCTGAGCTCACATAGGAAGTGTGCCAAGGTGCAAAGAGTTAAGGATGAGGCTCTTCAACTGCGGGGTTTGTCCCCTGCAGCAGACAGTCTTCCTCGGAGAGCTGCTCAACCTTCCTCATTATCACCAGACTGGACAGCCTTGAGTCCTTGACTCAGTGGGAGCCAGCGGAGGTATTCCTGTCTTTCCCTGTCACCTATGAAGCAGTGACAGCTCTCAGGGAGAGCATTTCATGCATTTAATGGGAGGACCGGACAAACAGGCAGCACCTATTCACCAGGGGCCAGGAGGAAGCACTCGACCCAGGAGGGTGCATTCATTGACCTCTGTAGGCACCAAAAGCAGAGAAGCAGTGTGACACATCACAGGGGACATAGAGTCATGTTTTCATGGTCAGCTTAAAAACCTGATAGTCCACTACTTCACCAGATCAGATTTGTGGAGGTGTAACTCAATGATAAACATTTAAAGATGTCACTGAGAAAGACCTATAAATACCTACCACATCTTCCTTCCACCCTACTTCTTTTTTTAAATCATCTTCAGCTTGAAATTGCAGTTACTTATAGCAAGTCTCTGCACAGTTTTTATATTTCCCAAAACTGCAGCAAGCTGAAGGATCTACTGAAGTGATCACCTCCACCTCAGGGCAGCGCGATTCTATCGCTGTCTACGTGGTTACTGCAGTACCACAGCCACCACCTATGGACCAGCCCCTACTCTGACCCACTGGCAAGAGTCCTATAGCCCAGCTGACAGTCACATGCTCCTCCACCACGCAAAAATACGTGGAACACCACGCATCCACTGCCACCCGTGTGCAGCCCCTGTCCAGGTGAAGCCACGTGTTTTAAGGTCTCTCCACCTTTTTTGAGCGTTATTTCCTTCGCAACGCATCATTTCCTCAGTTCTCTCCTTGCTCTTCAGTCTGTCCATCCCGCCTTGGAATGAATTTAGCCATTGATCATCTCGACATTTTAGTTACAATCACATCACAGAAAAAATCAAGATTTTCTCCCCTTTTTCAGCTTTTCCTGGCAGTTAATGAAGAGTCCATCAAGAAAAAAACACAGCACCGTCATCTGCAGCCCGTGAATGCGGACTGTCTTTCTCTACTGGTCTTAGAGCTCCCTAAGAGGAGAAAGTAACTTAAAAGTAGCAGAACAGTTGTCCCCGAGAGGCTGCTTACTGGGCGAAGGAAACGGGATGCGAACGCTTGTTTAAGAAGCAGAGGGTAAAGCATAAAAACCAGCTCCACGACTAAAATTTTGAGCCCCTTCTGTGTCCAGCGAAGAAACTCGGGACGATCTTGAGTCTCCTTGAGGAGAGCTGCCGGGTACGACTGCAGCTCCTTCAGGAGGCCACGCTCGTTTTTAAACTGTTCTTGAAAACTCCGAACTATTTAATGCTAAACGTCTCACAGCTACGTAAAAGGGGCGACCCTGAAATCTGTGAGAAACGGGGGATTTTTTTTTTTGGGGG